GAGAGAGGGATGGAGGGACAGAGATAGACAGAAAATCTGAAAGAAGAGGAAGACAAAAAATACATAAGTAGACATTGAGTGAGAGTGCTGGGGATAAGATGAATAGATTGAGAGAGTGGAGGTGGAGAGAGAGAGAGAGAGAGAGAGAGAGAGAGAGAGAGAGAGAGAGAGAGAGAGAGAGAGAGAGAGAGAGAGAGAAATAGTGTAAAGGAGAATGCTTTTTTGAAATTATCTGCATTATTATGTGTTTAATTATTCTGGTATGCCAAATTTTGTCTTGTCCGTAAAATGAGATTCCCTTGACCTTGACCCACGCCACCAACCACTTCCGTCGTAAACACCACTAGGCTAGCCTAGTCGACGGCTGGCAGGTGAAGTCATTGATTGGCGGGGTGGACAAAACGAAAGTGGAAACTGAGGACGACATGGGCATGGCAGATTATGGCAGATGATTCAGATTCAAGACATTTGCTCAAGACATGTTTTGTGTGTATATCTTAGTTGATAATCATAATTTGTAGATCTATTAATCTATCATTGTCATCCTCGACTTTCTCATCATTCTAGAATCTATAATATATTGTAGATCTAATCTCTAGATCTAGAATATATCTCTAGATCTAGATCTAGATCTAGATCTAGATCTAGATCTAGATCTAATCTAGAATCTAGATTCTAGATTTTTAGACTAGATTTCTAGATCTAGACCCTTCCCTTGAGCCAGGGGCCAGAGTGCCAGAGCTTAGGCCAAGACTAAGTTACTCCCTCACTGCCGTCACAATGCAGCGCAAAATACAAACATTGGTAAGAAAGATTGAAATTGAAGAATACCGGACCAGCCGACTGACTTTGCCTTTGTCTCAACCTTAGGAATTCATAATTTTCCTGTTTTTAAATATCTCTCAATGGAGAATCTCGGACCGGTAGATCTCTTCATTAAAATTTTGTCAGGGGGGAGACCCCCCTGAACCCCTCCTCCACCCCAACCACCCGCCCCACCAACCCCACTTTCTCGCGCAATAATGTACGAGTGGTCCGGTATTCTTCAATCTTCCCCAAACATTTTCCACTTTTGACTTTTGAAGTCTGTAATGAGATAAGTGCTATCTAATCCTAGATTCTACTTCGTTAGTCTATCTACGTTGGTTTCAATACTCACTGTTTCGAGCAGGGAACGATGTGTGTGGGTCGTACAGGTCCTGAGCTCCATCCACTGTATCGACCCACCAGTAGCGTCGATCCTTATAGATCTATATTTAGAAAGTGGCTATTCTCACCCGCCTGGAAGTTCTCGCAAGATCTACTCCTCCCCTCTTCTCTCTCTCTCTGTCTCTTTC